TAGTCTTTCCCATTCTATTGTTTTCCTCTATTTCTTTGCACTGATCACTGAGGAAGGCTTTCTTATCTCTACTTGCTATTCTTTGGAACTCTGCATTCAAATGGGAATATCCTTCCTTTTGTCCTTTGCTTTTCACTTCACTTCTCACAGCTATTTGTAAGGCCTCCTCAGACAACCATTTTGCCTTTTTGCATTCCTTTTCCATGGGGATGATCTTGACCCCTGTCTCCTGTACAATGTCACGAACCTTCATGACAATTCAATGTATAGGGACATAAAAATTGTATTCCACGATAGAAAATAGGAATTAATATGCACAGGTAACTTAGGAAAGGAAACACATTTTCTTAAATTAATTAAGCCAGTATTGCTGACAGTATGATCTTACACCTCCTTTCATTACAACTAGAGAACCTATTAAAACTAGATGTACTGAATCAGCATCTTTGAGACTGGTGACTTCTAACCTGCATTTTAAATTAGCTCCTCTAAGTTAAATTAATGTACACTGAAGTCTGAGAACCAGTAAACTAAAACAAAAGTAAATAATATCAATATCAGGAGTATATCTCCTTAGACAACCAGGTATGAATCTGCCCAGGAGGTAGAAACATGAGACTCTGTATACTGAAATCAAAATTACAATATCTTTATCTGTACTCACTGATTCTTCAACTGTGATAGACAACATTAGAATGATGTCACAGATTTAAATAACAAAACAACAAAGAAGCAAAGACTCACAGGGAGTTACAAGAAAGGGAACAGTTTGTTTTTGTGAAGTGTTTTATAGAACTTAAAAGAAAAGCCTAGTGTGTCATGTGTGTAAAAATAAATAAAACAGAAACCGCAACTAAAAGTCAGGAAGCCAGAAGGCGGAGCTCTCACATGCTATGACAATAGAGCTAAGAGAAAGATGACTCTCATCTTGCCTGGCAAAAGGTCAGCAAATGAGTTACTGTCACAGCTCAATTAAAAGCCACTATACTTTGAAGTTTCAGTTCCCCTGATGGACTCACTGTTTACGACAGCCCTCACAACTTCCTTTATCCCCTCTTTGAGAGGGTTATCTCTTTGTTGTGCAGGGATTTGCACTGTGGGCCCCCCTGGTTGCAGATCCAAAATTACAATTCTTTGTTGATCCCAAATAAACCCATGCTGAAAAAATATCTGGCAGTCTATTTGGGCACAGTCCCTTGGCATTTCCATCTTTGATCAGTCAGCCCAAACTCAGATATAACTTTGCGTTATTATACAGTGCTTACATTTAAATTGAATTTCTATGTACCTTCTAACCAGGGCCACCCAAGATATTTATGCTTTTCTTCTCTGAAGATTTTCATCTTATGTCTTTGAGAATGTAGAGTGTCTTCCTATGGACAAAAAAAAATGCTATATATGTAGAAAGTGTCAAAAGAATTAAAAGAATGCATGAAATGATTTCTGTCTCCCTAGGAACTATACTTCTGTCAAAAAATAAAAAGGAGAGGAGGAAAGAAGGCTTAAAACTGAAAGCAACAAAATATTAAATAGTTTAAAATATTGTCAGTAATGCAAAAGGCTTAGTATTTACAAAGTCTTTCCACAGTCCCAATATGTATCCTATAAAAAGGATTTCATAACACTATGATTCCAATATGTTTCATAGTCAATGTGGCTTGAGTGATAAGGTTTGTTTCTCTCCTCTTCCACTTCTCTAATGTCTATACTATGCTTTCATCCTGTCTTTTCTGCCTGTATGTCTACATTTAACTCTTTACGTCCAAATAAAGAACGCTGACTCTGACTGGAACTAATAAGAAGAGTTCCTTTTTCAAAAAAAAATTCTAGTTTCATTAATGAGATAAAATGATATCTATTAGCACTTTTTTAAGTATTGTGAATAAATCTCTTTGGAGCAATTATCTAGGAAATGGTCATTATCACTCCCCACCCCAGCCCTGGGTGTTTCATACCCATGCCATATTCCCAGGTACTCTGGGTTCAGAAAGAAGCAGCTGCCTGAGAAGTATGGGAGCACATTCATCTGTAGCACCAGACGGAAGGAATGGATACAAGAAAATTCATGAGGGAAAAAGAGCTTTCTGGTCTTCCTGGCTGAATGGATAGGAAAGGTTAGGGAGAGGTGGAAGAGTACAACTTGAATCAGAGGTTTCAAGCTGGGTGATAAAGAAAATCATGACACCACCAGCAGAAATAGAAAAAATAAGAATTGGTTTTGAGAGAAAAATATTGCATTTCACTTGAGACAGAATCTTAAAACTGATGACTGGATATTCAAAGAGAAATGTCTAACAGAAAACTGCTGATACAATATTACAGCTAAAGAGGGGGCAGGCCCAGAGAGGGTGATTTATCATTTTCATTTATGCAGTGGTTATGGCATTAAAATGGATGAAACATCTCAAGAGAAGGAATAAATAAAGACAGACAAGCAAAGCACATGGATGGAACTTTAAAGTATGAAGAAGAGAAGCCAGTGAAAGGGACAAAAGAATAGTAAACAAGGAAACTGGATAAGAATTTTAGTGACTCAGAGTTATAGAGGTCAAGGAAGGAAGAAAAGCAAGAAAGTGGGGATCTCAGTTTTGTGATACACAAGAAAAAGACCAATGACCATAGAAAGATAATATACACATATGTAATTTAAAATTGTCTAGTAGCCACATTTTTAAAAAGTAAAAAGAAATAAATGAAATTAATTTTAAGAATATATTGCTTAGCCCAATTTCAAAAGTAAACTGGAAAATGTCAATACATGATATA